CGCTGTTTCTGAGGCAATCTTCTCCGATTCTGATTAAAAGGGGGTGGGCCTGATGCAATGTCGAAGTTTGACTGGTCTCCGTAGTACGGAGTTTGGATGAGGCATGTTACAGTTTACACTGAGGTGTCTCCTGAGATGACTGACAAAAGTAGGAATGTAGCGTACGATTAAAAAAATATATGACTTCTACAAAACAATGAATGTAAAGTACGACTGTGACGCCTGTTTATCTGGTAACCATTGCATTTCGGCATTAAAGTTTCATCGTTTTTCTTAATTTTTAAAATTTATTAAAATTAATTGATTAATTTAAAACTTAATTTTTAAAACTTTTTTATTCATACTGGTAGATGTAGTCGTCCATTATCATCTGCGATCTACAACTATGTATATCAGCTAAGACTCACTAATGATTTGGATTTTTTTTCTTAATGCGATTTTACTTCTCCTGCTCGTATTGATTTTTACTTAATTTGCCTGATATTGAGGAGCATTCTAGATAACTTTTATAACCAAAAAGTATCAAATTTTAACTCTACAAGTCTTTTAAAATAATCATTACTATTACTTTACTAATTTTACTGTTACATTTAGAGTAACTTCTTCAATGTACAGTTACCTTCCTCGTCTATATAATTTATTTCATTTACTACTTCGTACCCTTTCTTATTATCTTTCTATACACATATATACGTTTGCCATCGTCTAGCTCCTTAACAATTGTCACCTCTTCAGCCAGATGCTCGCTCCTGATGTCCTTCAATACATTTCTCTCACATGCCTTGTTAATCGTTATCTGCTAATAGGCCTGGCTAGTTTGACTGCAGGCCTTGATGCAAACGGCTTCATCGCTTCCAGTAGCTCCGGCTTAAATTCAAGTCAGCCCCCGACCGGCTCGACAACAACCTGTTCAGGTAGTGCTGCTGCTCCGGGATCTGCGATTACCTTGAACCCGGGGCTCGCCAATCTCCAAGAGGCAGTGTCTCGTCTACAGGCTATTGTTATTTGCCTTCCATCTGATTGGCGTTACAAACGAGAGTCTGCACGAGACCCAACTGATGATTCCACAGGCAGTCTGGAGATAGGGACTCTCTCAAATGATAATGGAGCACATTCTGAATCTAATTCACCTCCGGTAGAAAACGGGCTGGCTCAAATGAAACGATTTACCGGACAATTATTAGAGCGGTGTAAATCCATTTCCCGTCAGCTATTGGAGCTTTCTACAAAGGGGAATGCTGAGGCTGCAACAGCCGGTCTAGTACTTAGGTGGGTCACTGGAATGCGTTGGCATCCCGTAAACGCTCTTAAGAGTTTATATTGTTTATTGGTGTCACTTAAAATTTGGAATGAAACTCCGATGTTACATTGCGTTAACAATATGCAGGTTATGATCTGACT